TGTTATGTTAAAAGATTTCTTGGGACGTTGAAAGTTTGGGATATTTAAGTGTCGTAGAGCCATGCTTCGGCATGAATGGGCCGGCTCAACCGGAGTAATACCACGGCCTCAACGCAAGCGAAAAAAACGCTTGCGTTGTGTTTCATCGTGTAAGTGAGGTTATCGGAGGCCCAATTGCCTCAGCCCCTCCTCAATCTCCCCAATTCCTGAACCTCCAACAATCCTCAAATTCCTAATCTCCTAAAGGCCGGTCACGCACTTGTAATGCCTCTGGTGTTCCAGGTGACCATGTGCGACGCCAACCCTGCTTACCATCAGGTGATCCGTCGGCTCGTTTACGGGCTTATCCTATAAAAACGACTTGATTATGGAGTCACAAAATCAAAACAATATAAAGGACTTCATAATAACAATGACTCTATAAATATCGTAGAAACTAGTAAATAATTCAATAATTACAGAAGTTTGTCGGTATGTTCGACGTTAAAACGACTGTCCAATTGCCCAAAATCAATAACAATAGTTTATTTATTTTCATATCGGTACTATTTTTGTACCAGGCGTGTAGGAGTTAGATGTGATATTGATTTACGTTATACGTCATGAATGTAACTGGGTAAGTAAATAAGGACAATGTACCTACTTGAAACCAGATTTGTGTATCCAGTTAGAAAGAGGTCATGATGGGAAAAATTACCATTTAGTTTGGCTAATTACACAATGGCTTTTTGACGGACGGCTTATTAAATTTTTTGTGCTGATATTAGACTTTAACCCTTTTATCACCATTTCATACTTAGTCGTTGAGCCAAGCTTGAAATGTTGTTTGTTTATGACTAGGATATTTTATCAGAAGTATGCCGTAGGTCAAATTAATAATAGCAAATCAAACTAAAAACGATGAATCAAAAAGTTATATTAAGGTAAAATGGCTACAAATGCGTTAATAATAATCCACGTGTTACGTACGGTGCTACCAGGACCACATCACAGTGGAACCAGTAATAAAAGTTTACAGCTAACACGTGCTACCAACTGCTTTATGATTTCTTAGTACAAGGACACATATTTTACGTTCAGAGTGAGTTCGCGATTCTGACTGTATACAGTCAGTGCTCTAGTGGCTATGTCACAAACTGCTGGAAGATCTGTCGTAGTCGTAGGCTTAATTTGTGGGTTGAGTATGTGACTGTCATCGTCATGAACATCTCACAAGTTTGAGCCAAAGTAGTTACATCTGTTGTAATGATTTTTCCAGTGATAAACACCTTAACTAGTAACTGCATGTCGCTTGTAATTAATTGTATTTAGATTATTTAAAAGTAGCATTAGTACCTATCTCGAAACTCGAATAAAATCCGACTACGGTACTAACACTACTGATACTACCATTATGGGTCGATTTTGTCGCGGAGAACCTAACGGGTAACCGGGGCTCCTGCTCGACGTGCAGGAGAAGGAACGGAGTGGTTTTTAGTCAGTAAGAGTCTGACACTCCCTCCCGCCTCACCCAGGCGGGAGTAGTCATACGATGATTTCCCCCATTAAAAAAAAAAATGGGTCGATTTTCTAACGCCAGATACATTTTAACTTAAGTAAAGTTTGTATTCATTAGTAACTTTTAGAAATAAGAAAAAAATAAATATGTACAACCTAAAATACACTAAAACTAATAGAGAAATATAAATAGAAGAAAACTAAAAAGGACTATTTACAGAGAGCATCAAAAATTCGTCCGCATCGACGTCAAAGTCAAAGTTAAAGTATTTATTTCAAATAAACCATAATTTGGTACTTTAGTCTGTCAGTGTGTCCGTCAGCCGTCAGTGAAGCTAGGTGCTCATTCCAAAATGTAGATTCGAATGGAGAAGAACGAGCGAGAAACGTTGTTCGTTAGTCTTTTAAATTTTCAATAGGGAAATCACCCAGAAGACTGAAAAACTTTGAATGTGTGACAATTATTCTTCCATACCGTATTATTTGTTTTGTATTTGTTGACGTGTCAAAAGTACCAAATTAACCAAAAACCACCTGTCAAATGCCAATTTTATTTTACAGTTGAGAATTAACTGATGATTGATGATGGAGGGAGTGTCAGACTCTTACTGACTAAATACCACCCCGTTCCTTCTCCTGCACGTCAAGCCGGAGCCCCGGTAACTCGTTTAGTTCTCCACGACTCCAGACTCCGCGTTGGCCAGAGATCGTCCCGCGATCCCCGACGCCCGGAGTGTCCTTCGCGACGACTGGGTTGCGAGGAGGCAGCGCCCCGCTGCCTTACGCGTCTCGCCTCCTCCTTAGCTAGCATGACTGCTTCGCAAAAGGTGGAGACGGCATCCCAGTCCACCTCGCTCCGCATCTTGACCCGCACTAGGGCCGGCCGCAAGAGGTCGCCATCGCCGATCACGTCCCTGAGGGCACGGCGGTGCTCAGCCCACGCAGGGCATTCCCCCACTGTATGTTCCACTGTGTCCTTAGGGCGGTCCTCGCAGTGATGACACCCGGGCGTTTCCTCCCGCCCCATCAGACACAGGTATCAGCCGAAACTTCCATGTCCGGTGAGCACCTGCGTCAGGTGAGGACGCCGTAGTGTCTCTCAAGCCACTCGTCAAACAGGGGACTTACCGCTGCAATGGCAGCGAGCCCATGCGCGTGGGTGGCTGATGCGGGCTGATTTTTTAGAAAAGAGTATAAATCCTTGGAATAATAAATGTACCGAACCATAAAGGTGTATAAAATAGTAAAATACACAAGTATGTCATATGCAGTGATATGTCATCATGACCATTAATTGTCATTAGTTTTTGTTTACAATGTTTTGAGTATTTATTTTGATACAATAATTTCAATTCTATGACCAACAGTGTTGCCCTGGTGGTAGCGTTTTCATTTCTCATGAATGACATACATTTTGTAATTGATTGTGAGTATATTCAGACAGTAGTTTGCTAACCGCTATTTAAGCAACAGTAGATGCTATTTGCTCGCATTATCCGGAGTAAAAAATGATTTAAACAACAATATCAACAGCCTATAAGTGGCCACTGCTGACTAAAAGCCTCATCTCACACGGAGAAGCTTTGAGCATTAATCACCACGCTTGCTCAAGGCGAGGTGGCGATTTCAAACTTATGATTAGAAATTATAAACTTAGGTTTCCTCACGATGTTTTCCTTCATCGTTTGTCAGTGGTGTCTAGATAATCATGGAAAGGACAGATAACTCGGAAAAAATCACTCATCAAAAATCATGGTTTCGAACGGCATGAGAAGCGGTCGTCTTAAACCTCCGGGCCACCACGACTCAACATGGTTTATTCAGTCGTAATAAATTATAGTCTACCTCTGTGCCAATGGTTATACCTTCTCCTGAAGGGTACAATAACCTACCTGGGTGTCTTCAAGGCCCGAGTGAATAGGTTGTTTATGGGTCGACGTGCTCCATCGTAGACCGCATCATCACCCAGGCGAGATAGTGGTGAAACGTCGGCTCATCAAAATATGTATATTAAAAAAAAATATGTTTATGATCCATCGAGATTCTGTGATACGATTGCAATTTCTAATACATGCAACATAGGGGCCGTCCATAAATTACGTTACACGTTAAGGGGTAGGGAAGGGGTCAACGGAGTGTGACATTGTGTAACAAGTGGGAGGGAGGGATCCTAAACTTTGTGATGTCATATTTCAAAATTTATTATAAAACGCGAAATTTATTTGTATTAATGTTTTTTATATTGTTTGATTTGAATAGAAATAAAACTGATTTTGGAACGGTTGTTTTTATTCAATATTTTTATACACACGTAATTCTGCAAAATGTGACGTCACACTAGGGGAGGGGGGTCTCACAAATGTGACTAGCTGTGGCAAGAACGGGGGGGGGAGGGGCAAAAAATCATGAAATTCGTGTGACTTAATTTATGGATGACCCCATATATGTATCTTTTTAAGTCTGAGGCCTTAGTACAAGTTTGTTGCGTTTAAAGTATTCATAAAGGCCTCTGTTTACGCATCTGCAGGTTTGTTAAGCGATTTTCTCTTTCAGCTGGTATACTTCGAAACAAACACTTCACATCGAACTTAGTCTATTTATTGAGCGTATGCCTCCTTCTTCGCAAGATTAGTTTGATTCCTGGCATCATATCTAAGAAATGGCCCCTTACATGTTTGATGACAGAGGTAAGTCTAAAAGAATTACTTTTTTGTTTGTAAATGTAATATTGAACAGCAAAGTTTTTTGTGTATTTTTCTTTTAGATACCACTATCAATAATAATACTAGAAGGATTTCTATTCTACTTTTGGAAACCCGTTCAAGACTATTTACTCCTACACGCTGATAGTATCCTAGTACACTTGGCTGAGGAAAGAAGTTTGGACTGGCTCGTTTGTCACCTGTGTTGTGGACACAGTAGCTGCGCTGATATTTTTGCAGATTTAATACTAAAGTTTTTGAGCTTTGTCATTCTGTTTTCTGTTTGCCTTATTACAACCAAACATACATGAGATTGTTTTAAATTGAAATTGATGAACACAAAATAACACCTTTGTTTTTATTTATTGGGATTGATTTATTGTATGTGAGCGTTTCGTTGAACTTTTTACTACTCCTGCTATCCTAATATTCTTTTCAATGATAAAAATATGAAAGAAGTACCTCATTTAAAATGCTCTCTATACTACTTATAAAATATCAAAACACGCTTGATTGCATAGTTTTAGTTTCTATTTAAACTTAGCATCTAATGAATCCTAAGTCTGAAAGCGGTATTTACATTCAACGCCCATTCATTCCGTCTTTACGGCTGACTAATTTCCCGTCTCGTCATCAAGATGAATTAAATGTGAAAATGAAGGAACGTTCTAGGAAAATTCATTTCAGATTAAAAACTAGAGCGGTAGTATACTAGTGAAATCGTGAGTCATCGAACTTTGTATCAATTTATACCCTAAAACGATAAGCAGGAAAAAAGTACCTACTTATTTTTCCTCAAATTGTTTCCATTTTGTCATAGATCTAAAAATGAAACCTGAGGAATAGTGTTAATTAGTAGTGCTATTAAACTAACGAGATTGTGTGAACCAGGAACAAACAATACTAAAACAATACCAAGAACGCATCAAAGCAGCGCGTCGCTCGTTTCAAACTATAGGAAGCTACGTACCAGAGCATCATAAAAGCCCTGTAGCGTAGCGGAAATTGACGTAGTAACGCGACACTGGGTGGGCCCTTGTCAATTAGTATTATGAGGCGCATTCTCTTGGTGTACAATATCATAACACTATACAACAGTTATGGACTCCTGGTAATGAAAAGATTACTTGAAACAAATATCGTACTCACAAACATCTCAAAAAACTGTTTAAATATCTATAAAATTTTGAAAAATAGTAAGTTAAACTCGTTTATGTGTCCATATTCTTAATTTTTGTTATTTGTAAGTGCGCATCTTTGAAACTCCTGTACGAATTTTCATGTTATTGACAGACTAAAATTGAGATCAGATTTCTTAGTTGAAGATTTCTTGGTGACTTTGCATTTATTTCAACAAAATGTTAGTTTCGCGCAACATTATGCTTACTAATTTTACCATATCTTTTAAAATGGGTAGCTATTTCGCAGTATTTATCTTAAACTGCGGATTGTAAACAAAATGCAAATGGCGGACAAAATACGGTTCATTGTCGAACCCTCAAACAATTTCAGGTAACAAATGAAACTGGGCAAAATCTCCGGTCCAATCCCAATGGTACAAAGTCATTAGATATTGGGATTTTCAATTTCAAAATTCACAATAGTAGTACGGAATTGTGGTTCTATGACAATGAACTCAGAGGCGTTCAAAGAAAAATAAATAAATTAAAACTAGAATGAAAATGTCCGCTGGCGAATAAACAAACATTTGATTAAAGTAAAATAAGTTAGTTATTTGATTAACCGTCGTTTATTTATCTTAGAAGTTATATTGCAAAGTGCGCCTTTAGATTAGGCTTAGGTAAGTATCTAATGTATATATTTGTAAGTTGTCTTTGAAAACAATTACCCAATCTCTTCAATCCCCGAACCAACAATCCTTAAACTCCTAATCCCCAAAAGGCCGTAAAACCTTTGGTGTTTCGGGTAATTGACACCCGAAACACGACGGTGGCGTCGATTGCTTACCATCAGGTGGTCCGTCTGCTCGTTTACCGGCTTATTACATAGAAAAAAACAAACAGTTACTTTTGTTCGATTTCCGGGTCGGGCAAAGTATTACTGGGTTTTTTAAAAATTCTCAGTAGTAGCACGGAGTCTGGAAATGTGCCCGGTATATGGCAATAGGCTCACCCCCTATTACATGGGACTCATTACATAAATAGTGAAAAGTGGGTGTTACATTGTACTGTGGTATAATGTGCACCTCTGCCTACCCCTTCGGGGATAAAAGGCGTGATGTTATGTACAAACACATCTGTTTACGTCACTTTTTTAGCGTGTGAAATAGTTCTTTCTTTCTTTCTCTTTCTTTCTTTCATCATTCAATAATTATCTTATGTTGTCAATGAAACATACACTTAATTGTATTCCCAAACGATTGTTTTTCACTTACTCAAATACTTCATAAAAGGTTCTCCGTTAATGAAATAAAAGTTTATTATTGTTTTAGGAACTAGGAATATAAAATACGTACAAAAATAAAATCACTTTTATTACTCGCCCAAATATTTAGGTAAAGGTTCACGTTTCGTATTAAAAAAGCAATATAACTGTTCCTTTTTGATCGAAGCTGAAAATATTGCTTTTTTTTTGTTTGGTAAAGGTTTCTCACACGTGTGACGAACAATGTAGTTTCTGAACTTTTTAAATAAATACAAAGTACAGAACTTGTTTTTTATTACTATCGGTAAGCTACAAATCTTACGGCTCACCTGATGGCCAGCAGTCAATGCAGCCTAAGTGTACTTAAGTGTACTTACGAGGTGTACCTCGACCCGGAGCTGTAAATGGCCTTATAGGTTACCAGGGCTTCAGCCCGAAGTAGGAGTATAGGTAACTAAATTCGTTAAAGGGACAACCTCCCAAACCCTCTGCAACTACTGTAAGCCAGGATCTTACAATAGATACAACCATGAAAACACCGGAACACTGAAGTGCGTCCCAGGGACATGAATAACTGTCTTGGTTCCCGCAACGAAGTGAATCAGAAGATATTATAAGAGGAGAAGAAAAAATATATTACGGCTTTATCTATCTTACTGCGACATACTTAATTATGAACGGGGTTGGTTTTTAGTCAGTTGGAATCTGACAGTCCCTCTCGCCTCACCCAAAGCGGCAAAAGTCATTGGCCCCTCAAAAAAAAGCCAAGTACGAGTGCGTTACCGTCTTACCTACTGTAGATACAGAATCCATATTCCATCATTTTCGGAAAATTGACAACAAAGAAATCACCATTTACGAAGTTCAAACATTGGCAGTTCAGTGTCACTGTAGACGAGGCAATTTAAAAAAAGTCTATCGATGCCGTCAATCAAACAAGTTTCTAAAACAACCGATCAAACCTATATGGGTCAGTCGCAAACAAACCAATCTTTAAATACATCACATAACACCTTTATACAATTCATTTTAAAGTCCTATTTTGTGTAACGTAACTGTAAATGGTTATTTGTTTTCGCAGCATCCAACGTAACTCGACGAAGATGGGTCGTCTCTCTCTGTAAGGTAATTGTGTAAGTGCGAGTGACAATTTATATTGGACGGATAATAGGAGCCTTTGCTTCGAACATTCGGGTTGTTGTTCACAAAAAGATTCCTAACTTATCGGGAAAATTCTCCCGAGAGGATTGAGCGCTCATTTTGGTTCAGAACCTTTTCTAAGAAATGCTGTTATTTTTACTCTGTTAAAGTACAAATAGCTTACGAGACCCGCTTCTAAGTAAATTGATAAACCAAAATCAATTATTAACGAAACATCCTTTTGTTTCTATTTTTTTCTGATCATGGTGAATAGTTCGCCTGAAACTGATCAATAACAACCGATACTAATTATAGTACGGGAAAGATGTAAAAAAAAACAAGTTAGAAAAGTTTTTATAATGTCTATCGTGAGACATACTAAATTAACTAAAATCGTGGGTTACTCATAACAGAATATACTGAGAAAAGCTCTACTAGTTTCGAAGCACAGAGGGGTTCTTCCTCATGAGCAGTGTGCGCGGTCGCGGCGACGTCGCGCAGCTCACCGACTAGTAGAGCTTTTCTCAGTATAATATTCGCGTGAGTTACCCGCGATTATAGTTAAGTTAGAAAAGATTTATTTAGTAGTATTAGTCCTATTCCAAAAATCAATTAGTTTTCTTTTATTTGAACATATTTCCTCCAAGTAAATTCTCAATAATGACCTTTTCACATGTCTTATTCATAAAGCAATAGAGTAGCATTTTGTCAAGCAAATGACAAGAATAAAGTACGTACAGATTTAAACATATTCCCTTTCCGACTTACCCCTTGCAATACATTTTATTACGTCTTAAGTAACTGAGTAGCCTACTTAAGGATCGGCTTCAGTGAAGTGTTAAAAATGAATGAATATTTGACGTAGTTAGTCAGTTTAGAGTGGCAACCCCACACAAACTGTTGCTGGGCGGCAAGTCACTCGCTCCCGCCCACCAATGGAAACAACGGTATGTATATAGAGTGGTTTGGTTCGAGTTTTATTTTGTGTTTTAGTCTGCTTAAAATAACAATGGCTGAGCCTCATCCCAAACCCGAACCTACCACAGCATTGAAACCACAGAGTACAATATATGTACTGGTAATTGTAACCTAAGACATTATTACTATTGAAAAGACTTAATGACGAGGCACGTAACACCAAGCTTTGAAGTTTGTTATGGTGTAAAAATATTCTTCGTTATCTGTTTAGTGATTAAAAAGTCTACCTTGTTAGTAATTGCTAGTAGCTAAGGTATTGACTTCATGTGACTTGCTCCTACCTACATAACGAATTTTATAAAGAAGTTGCTGAAAACTGACCCTATGATTGAATTACAGAATATGAGGGGGTAAATATGATTTTTGTTTCAATTAGTCTCTGTGACACTTTAGTAAAAGTTTGCAAACGTGATTCTCTTATTCACAATGTTTTTTTAGTCAGTTTCATTTTATTGGCATTGTATATACGACCTTGGTATTAACAGCTCTATATCCACCTAGACAACCCCTAACTAACCAACAGGCGACAGTGTGCCCCCGACCGTGCGATCGCTAACACGCGTACCAGGACGGCAGCAACGCGCGGGAGATGCACAGGTACGATAATATTAACATTTTTATTTACTTTTTAATAAACAACCAAAAATATCTTACCTTGAATTTTACTTTAAACTAAATATTAAATTACTAGGCTGACATAAATTGATACAGTTAAGTATCGCAAATAGACTTTATGATCTTGATGAATGTCTCGCTGAAAATTGAGATGAATTGTGTAAATATATTATCTTTTATTCGCAATTATTCT